ATGGAAGGCTGAGTCAACCCTGAGCCGGTGAGATTTGAACCGCTGACCTGCTGATCTAGCAGTAGCCTGCAGTGCTGCATTTAACCACTGCGCAACATTGGTTTGTGACTCTCCAAGACTCCTTGCCAAGTTTTGCAGATGTCGGCCTTGCAGCTCTCCAAGCCAGATAAAGTCTGTGACTATAAATCCTCCTTTGAAAGACTTTGCTAGAGGTGAATGAGCAGAATTCACATACAGTTAATAAAAGAGGGTTTTGTCGCGACAAGGAGTTTGCTTCGGGCTCTCGGGAAGCCTCGGTCAGGACAAAACATTGCATTGTGGAGCTTGGGTGAAACTCTTATCCTTGATTGATCAATTGGATTTCCTAATTGATCCTTCAAAATTATTGCCTTGCCTTTTTCAAGGTTTCAGCAGCTGATTATCTTCTTCTAATTAGACTTCTAATTATCATTTTTGGCTTAATGTTAAAAAAAAATCCAAGAAGATTAAAGGTTGCACAAAAGGTGGGGTTTGCAAAAGTCTTACGAAGATCTTGTTTTGGTCCAAAAACATCCTTAATAAGGAATGTCCCAAATATATGGGGAAGCTTTGTGTTTTGGAGTTTCTGCCAGCTGTATGATTCATGCAAAGAGCATAAGGATTTATCGGGCACCCCTTTGTGGCAGGTAAAAACTCTTTGTAAGATCGTAGTAGCTATGCAATCCATGGGAAAAGTCCGTTAAACAGAGGAAAGAATATTTGTCTGAGCAGTTTGTCTGACTGTTTTTTTTTTTAAACTATCCAGGCCTAAGAACAATCTGGGGAAATAGACTAGACAAATGCAACCTTCATCCGATGCCTTCATTTTAATACAGGGCTCAGTTAAATCACTGGGATTAAATTGGATTAAACATGGCACCACCTGTTGAGAAGATTTTATATATAGGTCGGCTCTTGGGGAGTGAAGGAGACCTTTCGAGCCTCAAGTGCAGCAGCTTTTTAATCTTTCTATTTTCTACTTTTTCCCCCTATCTTCTATCATCTTCTTATATATATAAAAATGGCTGTGTGTGTGCCTGTATATTCCAGTATAATTCTGGAATGCCTCGAGCAACTTGGTACAAAGATGATTTACTCTCTGGAAACAAATACTAGGGGGGGGGACACCCCTAACAGCCCTCAGGGTGTGTGTTCTGTTAAGATACAGTCTGTTGTGCCTTAAAACGGCTTCTACCAAACTGCCGTAAAATGGCTTCTACTGTACAGTGCTGTGGAGTTGCCATGGTAACAGCTTCACAATACTCCATAAGGGGGCTCCCTCTGGTAAGGGGAAAAATCCACATTAGAAATTGCGGCGACGTTCATGGAAGGAGGGTTTGGGATAAATAAATAACCAGGCTAGTTTTAAATAAATAAAATCAATCCTTTCCCCGTTTTTATTTCCTTCCTTTCCCCAGAAAGTGGCAGCTTTTGACTGCGGAGCTCATCCCGTGGGCTGTCCAGAGCGGACAAAACGCAACCTGCATCTTGAATTTTTATTACGAGAAACGCTGGGAGCAAACGGTGGAATCTCTTCGCCGTGAAATCGGCATTCTGCCACCTCCGGGGATTCAGGTTTGAGCTTCCACAGGCTGAACGAGGGGAACACCTGAACGGAGGCCAAACTGCTTTCAGGAAATTAAACTCTGGAAATTAAACCCTCTCCGGCCAGGGGTGAAATCCATCAGGTTCTGACATGTTCTGGAGAACCAGTAGTGGAAATTTTGTGTAGTTCGGAGAACTGGTAGTGGAAATTTTGAGTAGTTTGGAGAACTGGCAAATGCCACGTCTGGCTGGCCCCAGAGTGGGGTGGGAATGGAGATTTTGAAGTATCTTTCCCCTGCCACGCCCACCAAGCCACGCCCATGCCCACCAAGCCACACCTACCGAACCGGTAGTAACAAAATTTGAATTTCACCACTGCTCTTCGCCAAGCGTAGGGTGTTTGGGACCCTGTCTTCTTCATCAGTGGGGCCCTCCCATCCCCAACTTCTCCTCCTTCCACCCGAACTATTAAAAGAAAGTTTAAAAACCTAGAAATATCGCAACCTTGACACTATAAAAATGGAGAAGATATTGCTGGTACACTTGCGGGAAAGATGGAATGATGAAAACAGCTGTCGAAATTCGTTCTCAGCTCCTAAGAGTTTTTTTTATGGTTCAAGTTTTCTTTCACATGCCAAACATGGATCGTGTCTCTTAGCAGTTTCATTCTCGCAAAAGCACTTTTTTGTGGGTTTGGATCAGAGATTCCTTTAATGTGTAGGATGCCCCTCAAAGCGTCATCTCTCTCGATCCCCAATCTTTTTCCAATAATTTTCATCCTTTCCTGTTGCTCAAACCCCTTGCGAAGATGATTTGTTGATGCCCAGCCTAGAAAAGGACAGAAGACATCTTAATTTCTGTCTTGAGTTGTTTACGTAGAAATCCCCTCCGTAAAGCAGATTTAAGTGATAAATTGGATTACACAAGTCCTTGTGTTATAGGGCAGGTACGCAATATGCAGAGCTAATCTGAACCGGGGCGTATTTTCTCTCTATATTCCCGATAGGGTGATGATACTTTGTAGATTTTATCTTACCTTCCCAGGTTTCTGCTTCCTTAAAATACCCTGTGACCCAAAACTTCAATATCTTTATAAAATATATATAGTTTCTCATCCCAGTTTTTAAATAAAGTTTGCAGAATGATTCCTGTTGCACTTCTCAGTTCTGCTTCCTTTGGAAAAAAGAGCAAAGTCACAATTCTGGGTTTGTAAACTACGGTTTATCCATGCCAGGTTCACCCAACCGTACTGAAGCCAACCTGGCTTGTTTGTTGGGGATCAAGCCATTGGTGCTTGTTCAACAAACTGCGGTTTCATAAATAATGGGCTAACCTCTCCAAGCGCCACCTCTGTTTTGTTACGAACGATCTTGCTGTCAATAGTTTCATTCACAGGAAATATACATATATATATTTACAGATGTTAAAAATCATCTAAATTCAAACACCGGACTAAAAAATAGGGGTTCAAAGCCAGCTGTGCTTGCTGCAACCGTGACCCCCCCCCCCGGCGCTTTTCCCCATCCCCTGCGCATGCATGCACGACCTCCCCCCATGCCTTGTTTTGGGCTTAGCAGGCTTCCCTGAAGCCTCCTGGGATCAAAAATAGGCTGTGGGGGGGTGCCACCCCTGCTCCCCCACCCCCTACACGTGCACGCTTCCCCCACCCTCATACATGCATGTGTGACCACTCACACCGCATGGATGTGCGCGTGTCTCCTGCATATACGGCAGAGACCCAAAAATCAGCTGGCTGCTGGGAGGCGCCCGCGCATGCACAGTGGAACTGAACTGGGGCGACAGCTCGCATGCCAGCAGGGAGGCCTCCGCGTGCCACCTGTTTTCACACGTGCCATAGGTTCGCCATCACAGGTCTAAACTCTCGAAAGGCAGGCGTTCAAAAGGAACTTTTTAGTTCCTAGAAGAAGTGATAGCAGGACAGGCAAAGCCTGCTCTGAATTCCCTCCCAAACTGCACCGTTAGGAACAGAGCTCTAGAATTCCTCCAGTTCGAATGTGGATTTCAGCCCATCAGGTATGAAGATGTTTATTGTGACGGACCATCCTGAGAGCCAGGTAAAGATCCGTTCCTGTGGTCTTCTTCCCCTTTCAACCAACGGACATGATCCACCTGCCCCCCCCCCTCCTTATTTCATTCCCCAAAAGGTGAGAATATTGCATGGCTGCTTACGCTGCCAGGAAAAAGGTTATAAAATACAGCTTATCCCCATGCTACCCGCTTCCCTCCATATGAATGGCAGTATCATGTCAGATAAGTAAGGGAAGCGGTGGATTGTCGATCAGAAAGGTCAGCAGTTGGGCGGTTCGAATCCCTAGCACCCCTAACGGAGTGAGCTCCCGTGACTTGTCCCAGCTTCTGCCAACCTAGCAGTTCGAAAGCATGTTAAAAATGCAAGTAGAAAAATAGGAACCACCTTTGGTGGGAAGGGAACAGCGTTCCGTGCGCCTTCGAAGGCG